AACTGAAAAACAGCACAGATCGCTTGGCGGAGAGTGAAACTCTGATGCGCTCAGTCAGAGAGTGTTCGGCGAATGAAAATATATCTGAGCTAAATTTATACTTAGCCTCCAACTCACGCACTGGTGAGTAAAATCTGAGAATTTATTAGCAATTGGCTAATATTAGACATCATTTAGTCGTCCAGAGTGAAGATTTAGTCGCATATGCAAGTGATTTACTCACAATGTAGAGGCTTGCTCTTTCACTGCGTCATTTTGTCTAATAAAATCCATTTATAATTCTTCCAAAATTCAAGATAGGGCTGTCGCGATAACCGCAATATCGCAATACCGCGCTAAGCGTCGTTGGCTTCTTGGCCTTTTGCCAAACTTTTTTTTTCTCCCTTTTCTTTAATAATAAACTTCTTAATTAAATTAAGTGCAGACACTTAAGTGAGCCTAAACCTGCAGCTCAACAATAATCAGAACATATATAAAGACATATATTTATATATCATATATTAACATATATAATATATATAAATACATTATTTTTTGTAAAAAAAAGAAAAAAAATCCTTCTAAATGAAAAAAAAAATGCAATCACTTAAGTGAGCCTAAAGCTGCAGCTCAATAATCAAAAACATAAATCAAAACATAATTTCTGTAAAAAAAAATAAATCAATAAAAAATGCAGTCATTAAACCTGCAGCTCAACAAGGTTTTTGGAGACATGCTCACTTTCTACACATTCCTCTTTCAGTCCAAGTTATGATGCAGGAATGTTCACCAATCCTTCTAAATGGAAAAAAAAAATGCAATCACTTAAGTGAGCCTAAAGCTGCAGCTCAATAATCAAAAACATAAATCAAAACATAATTTCTGTAAAAAAAAAAAAATCTATAAAAAAATGCAGTCATTAAACCTGCAGCTCAACAAGGTTTTTGTAGACATGCTAACTTTCTACACATTCCTCTTTCAGTCCAAGTTATGATGCAGGAATGTTCACCTTTCCTGGATTAAGTTTGGAGCTATGGTGTGGAGCGGTGAGGTACGAGGATGTGTGCACATACACACACAAGGAGAGAGAGAGCGCGAGTGTCACACACACACACACACACACACACACACACACGCAGTCTCTCCGTACAACAGTTTGTTTTTTGTTTTTTTTATGCGTGATTTTGAACAGATGTAAACAATGGCAGGAGGCTTAAAAGTATAGACGTGATACCAGCTACATTTAATTATTGTACTAAATTGCAGAAACGTAGTACTTTAGTCTGCTATTCCTCGCTCTGTGAAGTAATGTTAACGTGAGGGAGCAAACTAGTTCACGTTTGCTAGTTAAACGTGATACCAGCTAAATTTAATAATTGTACTAAATCGCAGAAACGTAGTTCTTTAGTCTGCTATTCCTCGCTCTGTGAAGAAACTGATGGTAAAACTAATGACATTATTTACTGTCTTTACATTTATTTTGAAAGATGAAGCTAGCGATTATGGTAAGGGGCGTTACATTTCCGACGAGTGCTTGCGGTGTTCGGCCAATCACAATGCACTGGGTCAGCTGGCCAATCAGAGCAGACTGCGCTTGTCGGAAGGAGGGACTTTGTAGAAAACGAAGCGTTTGAGAGAGGCGGGGCATAGAGGACCTACAATAATGTACAGTATTTGAAAAATAATGTGTTTTTTGAACATTAAAGCATGTCAACATACTCTGTTACACCAAATACACCAAATAATGATCTTTAAAATAGCATCATATGACCCCTTTAAATGCAGCTTCGGTTAAAAAATCATTTTAAAAAATCATTAAAAAATCTTCCCAACCTCAAACTTTTGAGTGGTGTTTTTGTACCAAAACACTCCTAATTTTATTTTTTATGACCATTTTACACCCTCTATCATACAATTGGGTTTTGATACATGTTCTATTTGCAGCTCAGAAGAAATGTATGTTTTTATAGTACATCAGAAAGAAAATTTGATTTCTCATGTTAAACATCACCAGTCAGACTTTTAATGATAGCTGCGATCCATATTAGTCCATTTGGGAACTCTCAATGATGCTGGGATGATGGACAGCCAGCCGTGTGTGTTTTTATCAGGACTCTGAATCGTGAAGCGCTGTAGACGATCTGTGGCCTCTTTCCCGTATGACTCATGCATGGCAGACAGCAGGCTTCCTCCGTGGGGTGTGCCGGAGCGGTCCAGACCTCTCGGCTGCGCTCGTCTGTCTCTGTATCATGCAGATTCGTTTGAGTCGAGCGTGTGCTCCACACTTAAACTAGTAGAGGTTGCGCGATCTCCAGCCGCCGGTTGGCCGCTTGGTTTACAGTAGACCCTGTGGTCTGTGTGATGCTGAGTCTGACCTTTGCTGCCATGTTTGAAGTGATGTGCAGACCGATCTGATCTGAGATCAGTGTGAATTGAACAGGAACTGTTTGACTGGAGAGAAAAACAAATATCACAACCTTCAGAATTATATATAAATTATTATATAAATATTCATGGTCTTATTGTGCATGGTTCATTGGTTTTCATAATCTTTCTTCATAATGCAATGGCTTTCTCCACCTCTGAAATGACTTTTCTGCTGATGGAAGAAGGATGTGTGGGTGGGGAAAAATAATGATGATAATCAATTGTCACGATCGAACCAAACCCCTGTGGATTAAATAGTGCCAACTTACTGTTTCATGACATTTCAGTGTAGTGTATTTGCATCAGCATGATTTTCTAACAGTCTGAATCTACTGCAGTGGTGTTATTTTAGTGTTATTGGTATACTGTTGTAGTTTTTGGCAATATATCAGATTTAGTGCTGTCAAACGATTAATCGCGATTAATCACATCCAAAATAAAAGTTTTTGTTTGCATAATATATGTGTGTGTACTGTGTATATTTATTATGTATATATAAATACACACACATGCATGTATATATTTAAGAAAAATATGTTTTGTTTATAAATATAAAATATTTATATTTAAATATAAATTAAATATAAATATATAGTATATATATACATGTAAATATTTTTAAAATATATACATGCATGTGTGTGTATTTATATATACATAATAAATATACACAGTACACACACATATATTATGCAAACAAAAACTTATATTTTGGATGCGATTAATCGCGATTAATTGTTTGACAGCACTAATCAGATTAGATTTTATTTTTATATTTTCTGAATGATTTTAATTTGAAAGTTTTAGTAATTTTGTTGTGTTTTTCTCCTTTTTTTAAAAGTCTTTTTTAATGGTCTGTATAATTTTTATTAGTTTTAGTTATAGTATTTAGTTTGGGTTATTTTAGTACTATGAGTTAAACTAAATGAAAATGAGAAATGTTGCCTTTGCAAATAGCTGAAATAGTTTTTTATATTTAATTTTATTTCAGTTCATTTTTAGATTTTTTTATGGTTTTAGTTAACGATAATAACCCTGATTTGCTGTAATACTTGGTAATCTGGCATATGTTGGTTAGTTAACTTGCAGTTCACTAAAATTCATGTGAAAGTGAAAGGGCTAACATGGTTTTCTAGTAGCTAAACTTCCTCAAAGTTCATGAAATTCCACAAAAGATTTCTGCAAACTGTTAATTGGTTAAAAAGGCTTTTTTAACATTTAATTGCTCCATCTGCAGTTTCTCCATTACATGAGGCTTAACACGGACCCAATTCTTTTCCCAGATCACCAGAAGCTGGAACGGGAAGCCCGTATCTGCCGTCTGCTCAAACATCCCAATATCGGTGAGTCCATTAAAGTCAGCTTCACAAATATACCCAAACTTCTCCATTCATGACGTAATCAGTGTGAAATCCCTCTTTAAGGATGCAGGTGCCACACGGTCTGGTTTGAATGAGCTAAGAGGGGCATTAATATAGAAAGCATATGTTTTCAGCCCATGAAACTGCTCTTCGAATTGTGCTGTTTGAGTTTGAGTGAATGGCAAATGAAAGTATGTCATGAAATTATGACTCTCTTTCTCTTTAATGCAGTGCGGCTCCATGACAGTATATCAGAGGAAGGCTTCCATTACCTCTTATTTGACCTGTAAGTGCTTCCATATAATATGGCGCATTATATATCTCTCTCTCTGCTTTGTTTTTGCTCGGTGCGCTTCAACAGACGCCCACCCACTCTACCTTCCCCTCTCATCTCTCTTTATCTCTCTCTCTCTCTCTCTCTCTCTCTCCCCCGCTCGCTTGAGAGCCAGTTTCCATAGCAACAGAGCTGGGCTGCCCAGCCGAAGAGAAATCCTGCAGCAGGGGTCCCCCCCCCACCCCCCCGAAGCCCCAGTGTTCTCTCTTCTAGAGGATTCCCCCATCCATACTACTGCTCTCGCTCTCTCTCTCTCTCTCTCTCTCTCTCTCTCTCTCTGTCTCTCTCTCTCTCGCTTAATTTTCTTGTCATGCACAACCACACTAGATCAATACTGCTATCTTTAGTTTATCTTCCTTAACTGTACTTGTTTAATAAATGCTGCTTTTATTTATTTATACATTCTTGATACATTATTTGCTACTTTTGATACAAAAATTTGCACTTTAGTTTACTTGCAAATTGAAGTATGCGATCTCGAAATACTAAATACTGTGCCATTGGTTGAGCCAGTCTGTTCTCATGAATCAACCAAACGAGACCCAACCTAGCATAGGACAAAGTATTTTTCTTATGCTAGTAATTGTAAAAAAATAAAAATTAAAAAAAGGTACTGAATAACACAAATCACCTTTTATTTATTTATTTATTTTTATTATTTTTGGTTAAATTGCTACTTCATTGATTCTTATTTTATTATTTTATTTTATTAATATTTGTTTATATAACCAAAAGTATTTAATTTAAAATAAGATTTGATTATTAATTTAATTATTATAATTTATTTTTTATTATTATATTAGTTTTATTAGTAGTTATGTTTTACTTTTTTTGTTTTAATTTTTGTAACTATTTTTTTTTATAACGATTTATTTTTATATATAATATTTGAATTTATATTACAAGTTTAACATATTTATTACCATTTATTTATTAGCTGTTTATTGTTTACTGTTTTATTCTTTTTATTACCAGTTTATTTAATTTAAAATATTTAATTTATTATTTTATTAATATCTTTATTTTATTTTATAATATTTGTTTATTGCATCCAAAAATATTTAATTTTAAAATATTAACATATATTAATTAATTATTTTGAATTAATTAATTAATGTATTTATGTAGTATTAGTTTATTTTATTAATTTTATTAGTAGTACATTTGTAAATTATTTT